CCTTTGACTCTTCCTTTCTTGCGGCCCCGAGCATACGCCTCGAATGGAGAGGCAGATTTCAAGAATCTGTCAATTTTCGCCTCAGGACGCTGCATTGTGCAATGTGCTGCCTAGCGTCGTTCATTTTCATTCCAAGATGAATAACTAAAAGACGCTGGGATATGAGTACTCTGAACCAGAGCCGCCGGAAGCGGTTGGCTGTTCGGATCTGGAGCCGTAATACTCGACCGGAGCCGGGACTGTTCAAAGTTTCCATGGCTCCGCACCAATGATTAAATAAAGGTCAAACCACCCACAGTCAGCCCTTAGCTTCGCGCCGCGTGGCACTCTTGTCGATAGTCCCGGGTCGTCGGCCGCGAGGGCGAGGTCAGTCCTCTTCGCCTCCCCCGCGCTGCGAACCCCTTCCCCCGCCCATCGATCGATCCAAGAACCCGGCTGACTCCTCCCTCCCCCTCCCGCTACGGGAGCTGGCCGGTGTGTCAGGATCACAGTCTTTCTGGAGCCTCATAGCGCCCCGTGTGAATCGAGCACCGGACGTGGGCTTCCGCCCCCTCCCCGTCCGGTTCACAGGACAAGGCTGACCGCCGCCAGCCGGCCGGAAACTGTCGAGGTGCCGCTGACTGCCCCTGCTGCAGGTGCTGCGCCGCCCAGTGGGCAGCGGTGTGGGTGGGTGGTGTGGGCTGGCCGTGTGGCTTCCGCCTGCGGTCAGCAGCGCGGGCTGACCGGGCACAGGCCGTTAGCAGGGAGGGAGAGGGGCGGGCACCTGAGCTCTGGCTCGAGTTGGTTCGGTGGAACGGCGATTCGCGTGCAGTGACGGCGAACAGTAGCCCATTGCATGTTTTGGGGTGAGGGAGTCATTCGTATGTTATCGAACAACGAATTTCTATTGCGTCGGTGGAGTTTTTATTTATATACCTTAGTTCTAGTGATGATGAACACCTACAAGGTGCTGTCGTAGGCCCGTCCCGTATTACACTTGGTTTCATCGTCCACTTGGGGAAAAAGTAACAAAGGGAGAAATAAAGTAGCAAATCATCATATATTTAGCAACTTTCCACTTCACAATGGAAGTTGAAAGAAAGGGAGAAAGAAGTAACAAAGAAAGAAGGACTGTAACAAAGGGTGAAAGAAAGTGACAAAGAAAGAATGTGGCAAAGAGAAAAATAAAGTAACACAATAATTGCAATAACAGTCTGAGTTTACTTATCCTGACCATCTTTCCCTTCCATTGAAATTTCGTGACCTCCTCCACAATGCTTTCGGACCACGGTCGTGCAGCCCACTGACCGGCCGACACATCCAGCTCTCTGGACCCGAGGAACCAGGATAGATTTAGAAATTTTTGAGAGCATTCTCATACTGGGGCTTATACGGGATTTTCTATCGTTACTTAAGTTGGTGCAGACAAATAAAGTTACCCCGATCGTTACCAGCCAGGATGCAGACCCGGAGCCGGTACGTTTTCCCAGAGCCGGAGCTGATGCATTATTATTGTACCGAACTTGTTTTAGACGGTTTTGGCTTCGTCTCCTCTCCAGCTATAAGGTAACTCTGACTGCAAAAGAGACCCAGTAGTCAAACGAAATCGTGTACCGACCTACATTGAAATGTAGCATCCGGGAGATAGAATAATGGCAGCAGAGAGCTCATCTAGGATGTTTGTATGTTTGCACGCATCCCTCTTGCAGTTACGTACAGTACACTCATCCATATTCTGAATGAACAGCTGATCGTTTGCTGCAACGTCATCCTATTGCACTAAGTATGCGCCCCTTGTATAAGTGGCGCCTTAGCAACAGTTGGCGTCCTTCATTCTCCTTATATAGTTGCAGAAACCGAAGGTTGTCTGCACGATAACGGTATCCGGGTCTGTATTAAGTTCCGTCGAAAGGGAAACGCTTTATCTATGGAAGTGTGTCAGTCGTGTCCTGTCCGTGCGGCGTGCTCATTGTTGCGGAGGATTCCACGCGTGACTCACTAGCCCTGCACCGCCGCATTGCGACACCGGTGCACACTCACTAGTGCGTGTGGGGGGAGGGGGGAGAGCAGGGGAGGGGCGCGCCCAGCTCTCTCTGGTCCCCACTGGCTGATGAAACGCCAGCCGGCTGGCGGCTGGTGCAACAGTGACACGCTGTGCGTGCGCGGCCCTCCCCGCCCGCCCGCTCGGCCCCGCGCCCGTCGGCGGAGAGATCAGTGACCGTTGTCTCCATGTCGGTGTCGGCGACGGCGGCACGTGCGGCGGCGGCGGCGGCGGTCCGTCGGTCCCCGCCGCTCACCGACGGCCGTCGATCTGACCCCTCCGCGCCGCCGCCGACGCTCTGGGGACGCCCCCGCAACAGGGGAAGGGGGGGGGAGACAGGGGGCGGCGTGGGTAGGCAGAGACAGCGGCGCGGGTGGACTAGGGAGCGGTGCCCGGGAACTAAGGTCGACAGACCCGCCGCCCTGTCCGGCCGCGGGCGAGTCGGACGTCCGGTGTCAGCGAACGGCTCAGCCGGGCGGGGGAAAAGGGAACGGCACGTGCCCACCTGAACCCGAGATGGTCTTTGTTTCCCCTCTGAGAAACCAAAAGAATTGAAACGGAACGTCAAGTGATTGAACGTACATAGTTTTAATCTGAAAAGAGCTACAGGCAACAATTTTTTAAAACATTTTAATATTTCCTGATGCTCAATGATCAATTAGTGACCACTGACACAATTTTTGTATTTGAGTAATATAATATTTGTGCATGATATTTGTGTATAAATGAATGAATGATATGCGTATAACTTCCAACCCATTCCTACATAACAAGATCATTTGCTATATAATGCTGGGAAAGGATTTCCAACGTCTGTATCTGAAGTATCTGTCGCTAAGTCATAAGTGAAACCCTCTTTGTTTCTCTAAAGGTTCCCATAGAGGAAGGCAAATAGATGAATTTCGTGAAATAGGTACTGACTTTGCCTTCATCAAGAAGCAATAATTTTTCATGCAACTTGTTAGGCCAAAGAGCTCATGCTCTCATTACCTTATACTGGGTAATGACTTTATGAAAAACGATCCAATATCCTTAGCGCGCGTACTCAAAGTTAGGTATCGATATTCATACTTTTGGATACTCACTAACAGCTACATTGCAGTCATTGACGGATCCAGAAGGTGGCATTGGCCACACTGCATGTTGGTGGTTATCCGGTAGGGTGATCCGGTATCCATTAGGTACAATAGTTCATTTATTATTTTATATTACATATATTTTCGTTAGGTATGCCTATTGATATAGTTCCCATATTAGTTCCTTTATTTCACACACAAACAAATCGTCGTAATTATTGGCAACTTCTACTAATTCACCCCACTTATGTCATTTTTGCTAATCGTTCTATGGTGTTTTAATAAGTGCTGGCTCATCCATATAACCCTGGACATCACGAGAGATACTGACATGGCGAAAGTAGCAAAGACGGAACATGAAACCGGTTTTATAACTTCTAATCGGAACCGGCTTGCATTCACTTGCTGTCTGTCACATGATGTCGATTTGTGCCAATTTTAAAGTGTATGCTAGGCCTTGGGGTGTGTCATTGCATTGGTGTCTCGAATGGTTAGCTTGCCCTCGACAATGTTCCGCTGGTGAATTATAATAATTGCTAAAGTGTTCTGAGTCCTGAAACATATAGAATATTGTGCCCCATGCATTACACCCACACCGCACATGAGCCTGCTCCTGAAGAGCTACTCACATCTAATGATGATTCCCGTTCAGTCTAAAACATGACATTTGAAGTGATGAGGATAAAGATTTCATGTCCTGAGCATTGATCAATAGGGCTTGAGGAAAGAAGTGTGATGAAAACAGTCAGCATTCAGGTAAAGCTCAATATAAAACCTTTTACAACCGTAGGTAGTATTTACGCATCGTATCTGGCGCAGTTCAGTAAATGCACCTTGCAACCTATTATACTTGCTATTTTTCAAAGTCTGTCATGAAATTCAAGAACAAAATAAACACTGCTGCTATTTGCACCACGGTTTCCTAGCGATTACGCGACTGTGTGATAACAGGCAATAAGCACAGAAAAGTCAGAAAAGCCTGACGCTCGCGGGCGATTCCTGGTAGCTTCTGGACTCGTCGCTAGATGGCAGGAGCGTCGGGCGCCTGAAGGTATACTGTACCGCACGGCATCCTGCCATGAACTGCCGGACTGCGGCTCTCGCGCCCGGGCTGAATGATAGGTAGGTAATATTAGATGCGTATTTATTTTTCAGTCTTTCAGAACCGCGCTCATTGTTAAAGCCGGTGGTAAGGACAGGTTTTCTTTATAACTACACGCTCTCCGGGGTGGCCGTTTGAGCGGCGGGATGGGCTGTCCTATATCGGGACACCTCCATCCCACCGGGACGCTCTCTGTCGCTGCGGCACACCGTCGGTGGTCCACACAGTTCAATGTCTACACCTTATCTTATCATCCCATAGCTCTGCAATGTCCTGCTCAGGCCGAGAGAGCCTGCTTCCAATAAAGAAGAAAATGTTTCGTTTATGCCTAACCACAGTCAAACTTATTCCTTGTCAATGTATCCCATGAGCAATCTCAGCTCAGCGTCATATTTTAACATGCTTCTCCAGAGGTTGGCGACCTTTTTCTTCCATTGCTCATTGAACGATGAATCACTCCACGCACTTATCCAACTATCCCGGCAGATGGGCCAGATGAGCGTCCGTCGATTCTTTTCGAACGGCTTCCCCGAGTCATTATAGCAAGTTCCGCACCCGTATGTGCATCTGTGCGTGTCACTTTCCGATCTAATCTAACCGGCTTTGTGGGTCGGCCGCGGCGCCGTCCGCCTAGCAACAGTCTCCTGTGACCCAGTGGCAGACGGCGCTGCAAGGCCGCGGACCGGTCGGCGCCCCACGCGCCGCGCCGCCGCCGGGTCGCCGACCGGCGCCGCCGCCGCCAACTCGGTCACCCTCCCCACTGTGCGTGAGCCAGCGCGTGGCCGGTACGCATAAGGCGGCGGCGGCGGCCATGGCGGGCTCAGAGGCCGGCCGGTGGCGGCGCAGTGCGCACCTCGGCCGGCCTGCAGCGGGGTCTGCAATGTGACACCAGCCTGCAGCGGCGGCCACTGCCAGTGTGCGTGTGCGTGTGTGTGTGTGCGCGTGTCGTGGCGAGCGCCCATGGCGCCGCCCGCACAGTTCGGAGCATACGGGTCATAGTTAAGGTCGCACGTCCGGCTGCCGCCGACGCTGCTCGCTGGTGCTTGGACCGCATCTACCTCGCTAGTGTTTAGTGGTGCCGAGCAAGTCTTTCAAGTGCCTTCCTCATGGGAATCGGCCTCATGGCGCCAGAGGCCCAGTCATCTGTGTTTTCTACTTTTATACGGTGAGTACCTAACCGGCGCTTTTCGTCTCTCTTACTTGATGCTGATGTACGAATTTTCCACGTCAAAAGTAACTTTTTTAAATCTCGAAATCAAGCTATCGTTAAGGTAAATAATTGAATAAAAATGTTTGCTGAGTGCCACTAAAAGTCTTAAGTAAATAGGTATTGAAAGTGACACGTTAGTACATCACTTGTAGCATTTTATGAAGTTAATTTCTGAAATTTCACAAGAGGTTTACGTAAAAGCTTAAATTTTCACTTACAAGGCCCAGGTCACTTCATTCCGGTGAGGAATGCCCCGTTTCAGCTTTGAGGTCGTGCAACGCTGTGACCTGTAACTTTTAACAACTTCCGACCCTTTATATGTCTTTGACATTTGAGCATTTCTGGAAATTTCTACCCGCAAACTTGTTTCGTTAATCTTCGCCGGTGCCCTGACCTATCAAACGGTCAAACGCTCTCGGGCCGTTGAAGCTTACATTTCGAAATGTTGTGTGTAGCAACATTTCCGCGGACTCCCCGGTGACATATTGGCCGCGAGGGCGGCTAGGAATCTGTATCCGGGCTCACGTGCCCGGGACGGCCCGCAGCCTGACCTCGGATCTCCGGCCTGTCCTGACCTTTGGTCGACGGGGAGGCCCGTGATTAGATTTACACTGAGCGCTGAGTGCGGCGGCGGGCCGCCTATTTCGGCCGGCCGCGGTGAGAGGGATGTACTGACACTCCGCTCCCGTCCGTTCCAGGTGTGAGCGTGTGTGAACTGAGTGAGTGCGCGTCTGGGGCCAGATCAGGTCCTCAGACGCTGAGACCAGCGGGACCGTTCAGACTCGACGGAAGAAGTGGAGCGATATAGGCTGGTGGCAGACAAAACTGAGGTAAGTTTCTACTGGGATCTCCAGCCTGGGATGGGTCGGTTTGATTCGTGTTGTTTAAATCAGAGAGAAACCGTGTTAAATTTATTGGTCTCACGTTGCACAATGAATCTTCCTGCCAAGCTGGCTGTTCCTACCTATTCGTAAATCATAATTCATCTTGCTTTCTTTTTTGAAAAAAAAAGTCCGAACAAGTTTTTTTTTCTAAAACCTTGTGACCTAATTCCGTTAAATTAATGCTTGTGACCTAATTCCGTTAAATTCATGCTTGTTAATTAACCATCACATTGCATTTTGAACACGTGTCTCGAACTGCCCTCCTTCACCCCCCCCCCCCCCACCTCCATGTCATTCCCCCTCCCCCTTATCTCCCGTCCTCCGACCCCTTTCCTCGCTCTTGCCGCGCCTGCAGTACCATCCGGCCGTTAACCCTGGCCTCGTCATGCGCCGCACTCGGCCCACTCTCCCTCTCTGTCCGCTGCCGTAACGATTACGGCGGCCCGGCCGCACGCACACGCCGCTCGCGGGGCGTCATTGACCTCTGTTGCCAGCCGCTCCACTACCGGGAGGGAGGGGAGGGGAGGGCTCTGCGTGAGAGTGCGTTCTGCGTACGCCGCCGCCGCTCCACCGGGGTCGGTGACCGGCCGGCACGTGGGGAGCACCGTCGGCTGCCCCCGCTCCCATTGGAAGTGGGGAGGGGAGCTGGTCCACTAAGCGTGAAAGTGCGTGTGGGTCGGGAGGCGGGGAGGGGGAGGGGGTGTTGGATTGCAAAGTAGCGGTCCGCCCAGCAGCTGCAAATCGGCCGGAATCGGGTTCTGGCTGCAGCCGAACGAGTTTCCCTTCAATGAAAGACGGGTTGAATGGGAACTGGGTCGCTTGCGCAACTGTTTCACTTCACTTAACCATATCGGCCTGGGTTTTCACGGGTCGTAGTCTAGCCCCGTGGGTTGATGGGGTCGTACCCGGCTCTGCCCTTGTCTATACGGCGCTATTCCCGGAGGCGCGGGCGGCGGTGCACGGGGCCGCGGCGCGTAACTCCGGCAGGCCCTGCAGCCGATTCGGCCGACGGCCGGCCCCACATAATCGATTCGTCGTACGTCTCGATGGGGCCGCTCTGGAAACTACTTATACGCGGCGGCGGCGGCCCTAGGCCGGCAATTAGCGGTCGTCATCGCGTTTTATCAGCGCGCCCATTGGCGGACGGCCGGAGCCGGGCCAGACGGGCGCTGCGAACCGCTGAGCGGTATGAGGCCGGCGGCCGGACGGGCCTGTGGCGGCGACCGTGGACTCGGCGACACTGAGCGGGCCCAGCCGCCGACTGGCAGACAAAGGCCCTGTGCCGCTGCATATACTGTCTGAGACAGCCGCGGTCGGTTGGGTCTGCAGATGCCGAGTCGGTCTCGTCGTCTGGCGCGGCTCGGCGCCGGTTTACATCTCAGACTCAGACGGCGCGCGCCGGCCCCGCATTCCACACATTGCAGCGGCGGCCGGCCGACTGGCTCGGTGTCCGACTGCGGCGGCGGCGTCCGGCCGGCGGGCCCTGCTGACCTGGTGGGGGAGTATCGAGCGCCGCGCGCCGCCACGGCTGCCGTACGGCCGGCGCCGGACATGCCGTGTCTGGTGACGTCACGGGTCGGATGTCCGGCGCCGCCGGCGGCCAGGTGACGCGCCGCCGCCGCCGCCGCCGCCGTCCGTCCCGGGGGACAGGTGGGTGGCGGAGGTGGGAGGGAGGGCAGGGGAGGGGAGGGTGCCGGCCGGCCGGTCGAGTTGGCCGCCGGCGCCGGGCGGCCAGTCAGTCGGCCTGGCAAACTGGTGCGTGAGGGAGGTCGGTGCACGCGGCGTCTGCCCCGTCTGTCTGTACCGCTGCCGACAGACCGCCCGGAGCCGTCCGCTGAACGGGTGAGCAGCAGCAGACAGTGAGGTCTTCCCGTCATTTGCGTGGTATCGTTCTTTCCTAGCTGGTCCTCAACGCTATCCACCGTCCTGCATTCCCGTCTCTACCCATCTCCAATTCTCCAAACCCGACCCTGTAACGTGCCCGTGTCGCGAATGTGTCGATCGCCACTAATTTCTCGCTCCATTCACAGGGTTTGCCTGGTCGTGTCGATCGTCTACAGCAGTGATGTCTCCTCACTCATCTGGTCGTCTTCCCGGCGTCCCGGTGCGCCATCCTCCAGCGGCGCCGGACTCTGAGTTGCCAGCTCTGCTCCGTGACGGCCTCCGCCGCCCACCGCGGCTGGCATGTCCGGTGCCGGCGCCCGGCCGGCCACCGCCGCGGGTCTGGCTCGGAGGGTGACGGAGCTCAGACAGCTCTGGCCGCCCGAGCTGCGCAGACACCAGCCGGCTGCCGTGCAGAGACGTCAGAGAGTCAGTCCCGACTACAGCTCAGAGCGGCGTGCCTTCAGAGGGGTGACATCTCTCGCAGCCAGCAGTACCGACTGGAGTCATCGAAAGGAGTTCTAGAGCGACCAGCAAACAGTCAGGAACCATGGATGACAGCTAAAGCTGCTGCTCTACTGTGACAAATCGCGGTATCGGCCCAGGCATCTGCCGACATTACCACTGCCATCGTGATCGTCCGCTGCCACTGCCACCAGCAAGTCACTGCCACCAGCAACCCACTGCCCCAGCGAGTCACTGCCCCAGCGAGTCACTGCCCCAGCGAGTCACTGCCATCAGCGAGCCACTGCCATCAGCAATCCACTGCCCCAGCAAGTCACTGCCATCTTCATCAACGACTGAGTTCTCCAATCTACACCAACCAACGGAGAACGACGTCTGCAGGGACGTCGTGATCGTCTCCACGATTCCGGAGAGTCTGCCAACGGTCCGGCGGTTCCGAGTGGAGAGTACGTACGAATGCGTACGTATGGGGCGATGGGTAACACATACGTGCAGACAGCGTGTGTGTTTCATTGGGATTAGTGAGGGTTTGATGGCACATACACCGGTGTATGTGTAGATGGTTACTACGTATGTTTCTTTACGTAGTATGTGTGAGTAGGTGTAGTTAAAGCAGGAGAAACAGGGTAACAGTAAACGATTGGGGCGCATCACTGGGCCCGAAGTGTGTAGGTAAATTTGAAATATCAGCGGTACACTGCCATTAGTTTCTTGTATAACCAGCTACCACATTGCCACGTTGACCAATCAATTGACTGCCATTAGATTGTATATTGTGTGAAACGGGTAAACAATAGTTTAATCACCAGCGTAACTACACTGCCCTCAGTTTGTAGTTAAATTGACACGGGTAAACCGTAGTTTAATTGACCAGCCACAACACTGCCCAACTAGCTCGTAATTTGAATACGACGGGTAAATTTAGTTTGTACTTTGACCAGCTATAATACTGCCAGTTTAGCTTGTAATTTGACCAGCCTTATTACTGCCCCATTAGTTTGTAACCTGACCAGCCACTACACTGCCATGTGTGTTTGTAGTTTGAACGACACGGGTAAACCGTAGTTGATAGACCAGCCACTACACTGCCATGTGTGTTTGTAGTTTGAACGACACGGGTAAACCGTAGTTGATAGACCAGCCACTACACTGCCATGTGTGTTTGTAGTTTGAGCAGCCTTAGTGCTATGTTAGTTTGTAGATAGACCAGCGACAATACTGCCACTAGTCAGTAATTTGTAGTTTGAATGATACGGGTAAAACCGTAGTTTGGATGACCAGCTTCAATGCTGTTAGATTGTAGCTAAGCCAGCGTCAACACTGCCGTTAGGTTTTTGGTAGCAATGAAACGGGTAAACCATACTTGAAGGACCAGCCACAACATTGCCCAATTAGTTTGTAATTCGAGTGATACGGGTAAATCATGTTTGATGGACCAGCCACAACACTGCCCAATAGTGTAATTTGTGCTACTGCCCCGTTAGTTTTTAATTACACTGCCTCTCTCGGATACTCGAGATTTGCGGACCAATAATAACACTGCCAATAGAATTTCATTTACTGCCGTCAATATCTCCTCGATCATTGGTGGCATTCAACAAAAAAGTTGTATTTTATCGTTTATAATAACCGTTTATCTTCACGCAAACTTCTGAACTCTGCTTGATTGCTAGAAAATTGTAGAAAAAATTGAATTTATGTCAGGTGAATGTGCTATAAAATTTAAAATTTCCGGTACATTTTCCAAACTGTAGAGCAATTCTTACCATATCATCTATGGGCTCCATCGAATGCAACAACTCAACCGCATTGGACTTCATTGTATAACTGTATATACCGCTCTTAGATGATAGTTTAGTTAGAAAGCACTACGGGTGCCTTGTTTGAATGACCAGCCACTACACTGCCGTTAAATTGTAGGTAAAGCGATACGGGTTTGATCGTAGTTTGATTGACCAGCCTCAATGCTGCCTCTAGTTTGTAGTTTGAATGATACGGGTCACTTGTAGTTTGGTAGCTGTAGTTAATAGACCAGCCACACCACTACCCTGTTAGTTAGTAATGTCACCAGCCTCAATACTGCCCTTTTAGTTGGTAAATTGACCAGTCATAACACTGCCCTGTTAGTAATGTCACCAGCATCAATACTGCCCTAGTAGTTGATAAACTGACCAGCCACCCCACTGCCCTGTTAGTTAGTAATGTCACCAGCCTCACTGCTGCCTGTTAGTAATAGTGACCAGCCACTACACTGCCATGTGTGTTTGTAGTTTGAATGACACGGGTAAACCGTAGTTGATAGACCAGCCACTACACTGCCGTTAGTTCGTAGTTAGGTTATAGCGGGTAAATCAGCCGAAGCACTGTCATTAGCTCAACGGGGGATATAATTTTTGTCTCTCGTCTCCACACCTTCGCTCTTTGTGTTACACAGCTGTGTAACTCCTAATTCCGATATATACATCATCTCGTATCCTGCGTTTGCACTTTTTGAACCTGTTTTGTACTTTTGTAGTTTTGTTGACGTTTGTAGGTACTAAATGATATTTTCACAATTTTATATTGTGCGTTTGTACTTTCTTACCGCGTGTTTGTACTTTTCTAGTGTGTATGTTTGTATTTTTCTAGGGGTTTGTACTTTTTAGGGCGTGTTTGCACTTTTGTACGGGATGTTAGCAGCTAGTCATGCGCGTTTGTACTTTTGTAGGGTGTGTTGTTTCTACTGGTGTGTGTTATCTATGTCTGCGTCTGGGTGTAGGTACTTGTGCTCCGCTTTGCGGTGAGCTCATTGCGGCTCGCGGCGGCCTCTGGTCGTCCGTGTCCGCCACACCTCGTACTCTGCTCAGCGCTGCGGGCTGGTCGCCTGCGGCTCGCCGCCCGGGCACCGCCGGCCGGCGCCCACCCAGTGTACCGGCGCGAACGCAGCGTCCTCTATACAACGCTGGTGCTGCCACCTGCCGCCGCCTGGCCGGACCGCTCTCATAGAGCGGTCACCGGAGCTGGCGGCGAAGAGGAGGCAGATCGGCGGTTGCACCGGCCGGCCGCCCGAGGCGCAGCCGAAACCAGGTGTGCCGTCCCGAGCGGGATCATTGAGCTTTGGCTTGCAACTGTTAATGTTAGATGCGACATTTGTACAGCTTTTGATATTGGTCACTGATATTGGTGTTCCGATTGTGGTAATAGTCAAAATACGATTAGCTTGGCAAGAAAGACGAGGGCTGGGGAAGCAAATGCAGCTAATGCACATACCACTTCAGCTTCGAATTGGTAGAGAATATCAAGTTTGTTGTATCATGTTTGTGAATTGGTTCGTCTCTAGCTCTGCGTGAATGTCTTTATCTGAAGCTTGTAAATATCTAACCCGTAGATAGGTGGTGTGGGTAGTAGATATGTTTCTTTGTACTTGAATAAATGTTCTGAATGGTCTGAATAAAATTGTAGTAGCTAACATGGTGTTTTCTAGTTATGATTTTTTTTTTTTGCTTAATGTAACCTCTGCCCAAACCAATTAGCGTGCCAACTGCCAAGGGTCATAACTAGACAACCCAGGCTCAGGGCTGACAGTTATTTTAGTCACTAGAATGTGCGGTTTAAAGTATTTATTGAAAACAATATTGGAGAGAGAGCACACACACAGTCCGATTAGTACAGGTTACATTCAAGAGTCAGCTAACGCTCTGGCAAAGTTGCCAAGACACATACGCCTCCGAAACAAAGTAGGTAAAGGTTTTCGTGAAGTCAGGCTGCGCTTCCTCTGGTCATGAGTCCGGTCAAGAATCCTGCATCAGCAAAACGGGGGAGGAAAAGGACACCCATCAAGTATATAGTCTCCATTGGAGCCGCTGGCTCCGCCAAAGCGTCTGTTACCGACGCCGAAGTTGCTGAAGGCACCGCGGAAGGCACCGAAGTTACTGATGCCGACGTTGCCACCGAAGCGTCGTCCGTAGGGGGAGTAGTAGTTGTTGCCGTTGTAGTAGGGCTGGCTGTAGTAGTAGTTGCTGCCGTGGTAGGGAAGGTAGCTCAAGCTGGCAGCGGCAACAGCTACCAGGGCGAGGAGAATGGCCAGCTGAAGAAAAAAAAAATGCATAGGGCAGCGTCAGTCATCAACCGTAGTTGTTCTGAATAATTGCTGACTTTCAACTATGTACAGATCCTGACACACTGTGTGATGTTTTTTATTACAAAACCTATGAATAAAGCTTGAAAGCTACGTAAGTTTTCAATGGTAAATCATAATGCCTTATAGGTACGTAACATACGCTATACGATTACGCCCGATGCTTTACCTACACAAGATCCTCGGACGGTTATGTAATAACTACAACTGTATGTATGTACATAGCTGTAAGAAATATGATACTTCTTAATTTAAGCTCAATTTAGGAGCATTATTGCCACGCTGGCTTAAACTGCTCCATAATTTTAAACGTGACGAACAATTAGCGAACATTTAAAAAACGGCGGCAAGAAGCGGTAACGTTTTTTTTGTCAATATGACTTTTGCCTACATGTAGCCAATGGCAATTCCCTGTAAGTTATACCTACAAATGCTGCGATATTTCAAGTCCATTTCATTCAAGGTCCGTAGGTAAAAAGTAGGTACCTACCTACTCAAAGTAGACTAGAAAAAAAAATCGAAAAAATCCACTACTGATACCTATACCGACTGATCGATTAATTGGAAAATGTACTGTGATCAAATGCATCCATAGAGTGCATATGCATCTTATTTTCGATATCGGTGACGGTGACCTATTCTATAGCGTGCTTAATTGAGCCGATACTTCTGAAAATCGCGGAACGCAAACAGCAAAGTATGTTGACCAAGTAAAGCGCCTTTTGGGGCGACAAACGAGCGAGCGAGAGGGTGAGCCTTGCACCAGTAGCGGCGGAACACCTTCAATTAAGGGGGGGGGGACACTGCCGACTTTTGGTCCCATTCTTTCCATGCAACGCCCATAGGGCTAATGTTAAAATGCTAAAATCAAAGGGGGCACGGTGCCCCCGTGCCCTCCCCGTTCCGCCGCCTATGCCTTGCACGTGCGGCTTTGCGAGGGGTACTTCCAACAGACTTGTGCAATGTGCACGGCACTCTACTAGCCGGTCTCTAGCGATCTGCCCGTTTTGGGCACAATCGGCCCAGCCGTTCTCGAGACCTGAACTGAAAGCGGCTCCCTGCACGTGCACACGTGCAAACTGGGTCCAGCTGGCTATTGAACGGCACCCTACTAACCGGCCCCTAACCGGGCACCAAATTTGAGGGCAATCGGTTCAGTCGTTCTCGAGATCTAGATGGGATCCCTGCACGTGCGCACGTGTAACAGCACCCCAACTGTGACATATGGGAATGCAGTGCATGGTGGGTGCGTACTGCCTACCCAACTTGGCGCAATAACCCCAGTAATTACCGAGATGCTGCCATAGTTACAAAACTGACACCTCTTCGTTTTGCAAGTGGCACGAGAATAGGAGTCACCCACATGCATCGGTATTAGGTAGTCTAATACTTGGTAGAAAGAATGGAGCTATCCTGCAAACATTACCGCAAGTAAATCGGTCTATAGTAGTTGCGGTGCTACCTGCAGCTTCGCAAGAGCGTCGCCACGGCCGGCCGCTCATACCAAGAAATTTATTCTTGTTTCCGTAAGACTTGGCTCGCTCAAAATCACTTGCCGTACCGCTTGACATGATCGGCGTTGTTCAAAACCCCAAGCACGTTTCAGGAAAGCTTTATATGGCGTACGTCCCTCCAGGGTATCCAGGGTATCCCCACCCCTATCCAGGGTGGTTGGTTGGCAGCATCACAATAATCCATCTGCATTGATGAATACGTATAATGGCTGTTGAAAACCACTGCTGAAATGTGTGCACGATTCACAAACCCTCTTCTCATTTCTATTGAGTCATTTTACAGGAGTGTCTGTCATTTAAAGTTATTGCACCAAAAGTACGTACATATGTAGGCTAACCAACCACTCTTTTGCTGGAGGGCCGTACATGTAACGACAATACCTATCAACAGCATTTGTATAGTTGTTCGAAGCCTCACCTTCATTTCGGTGGTCCAGGGAGTGTTGAACTGCTTCTGAAGGCTGAGACCGTGGATGTGAAGCTGGAGCCACACGCCGTCTTATATACCCAGTACGGACATGACCATGGGACGATTATCAAGGATTGTTAGTCTGCATGCAGTCTCTAAAAATACCACAATAATTTCGGTAGTCGAGGAAAATGCTACTTAGAGATACGGTTCCACCCAGCATAACAGTTAGCTGTTGCAGATTTGCATCAAATGTCCCATCAGATTTTTATATTATGTGTGCCAATCGGCAGCGAGATAGGTATCATTTACCTACATTTATTTTGCAAAGGTTTGCAACTTAAAGCATTATCCAGCCAATTGAGTCTAGTTAATTAGTTCTTGATTTTATGCTTAAAACAAAGTCACGAGAAGACCATAAAAGCTTTTTAAGATTTTTGTTTTATATTAGAAGACAATGTTCAATTACTCGTTGAACCAACTAAAACAATTAAGCATTTCAATTTTCAGGATATAACCTTAAACCACTTGAAAATTTCCCATATTCTGTTGACCTGGCACGGGTAGTAAAAGCAAATGTATGAGATGATCTGTCGACCGAATGACGAGTACTTACCTACTAGGTATATTGGAAAATGGGAAGCACTAGGTCATTGGGCATTTGCAGGTCAACTTAGATAATAAATATGCTAAATACAATTCAGTTTCGCGTAAAACGCAGTGACATGTTGCGGTTGAAAGAGTGTGTTCAGCAGTCTTCAATAATTTTTGTTGATTAATTATAATTGAAAGTACATACATATGAATTGGATCGCTTTTATGAGCATTGCTAACACGACTTTGGTATTGATGTTAACCCGCGCCCAAGTGGGGGGGGGGGGGGTGTTTGAACACCACCCGTGCGGTTTTTCGCAGATATCTCAAAAACGGGCCGCCGTTTTTGGTACACCTTACCATACATCAATTCTACACATGTTGTGAAAATTTCAGACCAAGGTCATTCAAGGTCAGGTCACCAGGTCACTTGAAGTGACCTCACCTCATAAAAAGTTTCAATGTCTGCCATAGCTACACCGAGTGACCAATCACTTTGAAACTTTCAGCGATTGATGAGGGTAACAACTAACAGTATCTATAAAATGTATATCGAATTTTGATATCGGTGACCTAAGGTCACAAGTCAATTTTGCGGCCTCTCCATTATAAGTCAATGGGAGAAAATTGAAAAGCGTCTGTTTTGCACGAACGCTATTCTAAGCACTCTCAAACATCGAGATGTAGGTAAAATTGACACACTGAACCCGGAAAATGGCAACTGTGACCCCTCATTACGAGTATGTCCCCGATGTCATCTCAGGTCACGAACAGAATCTAACAGTTTTTCGCTAATAACTTTTGATAGAGGCGTGCTAGAGCGCTGAAAACGCCTTAGATGTGTTCGGCTCGACGTTGCGGATCGACTGATATGCAACATGACCTTTTCCGGTCAGGTCATGACCTTGACCTGAGGTCAAATTTACAAGTTAACCTTTCAAGGTCAACTTATAGTTCATTCGACGCGTCTCGACGAGAGGAACACGATGCTGGCAAAAGTAATGTCATGGCTCTTTTGAGTCAAAAGTTATCTCCGAAAAACCGATTTTTGTAAAAACGGCTATTTTTGGAGTTATTGCCCTCTGGAGGCTAAATCGTTGACCTGAGGTCAAATTTGATAACATTACTCAGAAAGGTCTGTAAAAGGGCTATCGAATGCGCTTTTCCGCGGCGCTGTAGCTCTATCGGTTCCCGAGATAGCCGTTGACAGTTTCCAAAATGTTGAAATAGTCAACATTTTATCTTTGGTGACCTCTGGTGACCTGACCTTTGACCTGACCCAAAAAATGACTTAACCCGCGCGGGGCTGGGGTGGGGGTAAATTTTACCCCCCTCGCGAATTTTGGCAATATCTCAAAAACGGCGGCGCCTTTTCTTACATCAATTTGACACGTTCCCTGAAAATTTGAGCGAAATCCGTCGGAAATTTTTTGAGAAATTGACGTTTTAGTGACGTCATGTTCGCCATTTTCGCCTCAAAAACGGCAAAATTTCAAACGCCGCTAACATCTTCATTTTTAACCCGCGCCCTGCTGGGGGGGGGGGTGTTTGAACACCCCCCCTTGTGGTTTTTCGCGAATATCTCAAAAACGGCGGCGCTCCGCGCCGCCGTTTTTGGTACACCTTATCATACATCAATTCTACACATGTTGTGAAAATTTCAGACCAAGGTCATTCAAGGTCAGGTCACCAGGTCACTTGAAGTGACCTCACCTCATAAAAACTTTCAATGTCTGTCATAGCTACACCGAGTGACCGATCGCTTTGAAACTTTCAGCGATTGCTAAGGGCAATAGCATGTACAAAATGTATGT